GTGGCGTGGTCCGAGCTCCTCATTGGTGCAACCCCTTGGCATCAGGAGACCCTAAGACGGACACTGACGGTTTTGTATAGAATGCCCCGGTCAGGCATCACTAAGTCACCCATCCTTGCTGGAGAAAGGTTGGGTTCACACAGCAGCCTAAAGTGACCCAGATCTTTTCCACTGCAACCTGCGTCTGAGCGAGCACAGAAGCGGCTAGAAACACAACAACCATGGTGGATGATAATGTAGGGGAGCATTTTATTTATTTATTTTTTTCTAACCATCTTAAAAAGATTGTGTTTTTAAGTTTGAGAAAGACTGCTAGATGCGAGCTAAACCTTCCCTCCATATTTACTTCCGTAAACGTGGAGCAAGACAGCTTGTGACGTTATTGAAGTCTCTACTGCGCATGTGGGACGCTTAAACCGTATAAATGGACAAAATTACACATTTGGTTTTTTAATAGACCGATACATATACATGTGCATCATGATTGGTTGTATATATATCTACATATATATATAGATATATATAGATATATATATATATATATCTATATATATATATATATATATCTATATATATATATATAGATATATATATATACATATAGGATTCTAGTCAGTGAGGCAGACGGCCACATAGAAAGGCACAGGGCAGAGTGAGGGGGCCGCAGCCGCTGCAGCTAGGGGGGTTGGTGTTGGGAGCTGGAGAAATACACCTTTTCTCCAGCAGAGTCCGCCCTGGATCCTCCCTGCTGAGCTGCTCTGCACACCTGCAGCTGATGATCTCATCTGGAGGACCTGGACTACTTAAGCTGCCTTCAGACCTTGCCTCGACGCCGCAGTGTCTTAATCAGTTGGTTAGCACTTAAGCCATAGATCCCTAGTGAACCAAGTCTCCTTTGAGTCCAACCTGGATTCTAACCCTTTTTGTCTCTGCTTCCAGGTTTCCTGTTCTTTCTCCTGTGAAGCTCTGGAAGAGCTTAACCTGCCGAGCCAGCCCTCTGAGCCAAACCTGAAGACTGGATTTCCTAGCAGCTCTGGATACCGAGCTGGAAACACAAGCCAAGGTCAAAACAGCCTTTAGAAGTAAGATGCTGAAACAGCTTAAGGACTCTGCCAACCCAAGCTTTCTCCGGACCCAGCAGTTCCGCTCCCAAAGCCTCATCTACGTTCATCAAGGTACAAACCTGAACACAATCAGTCAAGTCTCAACCAAGCCTTCGCTAACCAAACTGTCTTTCTCACAGACGCCAGTGAACCGGTCCCAGCCCAGAACCATTGCATCAGTCTTTATTATATGTGTGAATTTGCCAATAAACTCTGTTAAACTTTCCATCCGTGTCGTCAGTGTTCTGCATATTGGGCCTCCCTGATACCCATCATGACAGTTGGGGGATGGCTGCACTGTGAGTGTGAGTGAGTTGAGATCACAAAGCTGCTCCAGCTGCTGCTGCAGGCAGAGGGCTGAAACGGAGTGCTAACAGTGATTATATAAGAAATCAATACAAATACTTAAAAAATAATAATTTAATCATCATATCCGTTATTAAAATAACAGTTAATTTTTGTATAAATTTTATATAAATTTTATATTAACTTTATATTAATTTTATATTAATTTCATATTAATTGAGGCGGGACTTCCGGCTGTCACTTTGGAATGTGGGCGTGGTTTTCGTGAATTGATGAAAGGTAGGGTATATTCTTTTTTATCATATTTAGTTACTTCAACACAATTGTTTTATGTCCTACCCTGTTAACATGAAGCAATTGTGTTAAACTAAATATGATAAAGTAAATGCAAAAGCAGTTGCATTATTTTTTTAGGGTTGCAAGTAAAAATCATCCAAAACTCAATATTTTAGAAAATCGTACTAGATATTCTTCCAGGATTTTCCTCTATTCATATCCAATAATACTTAAACTCTGAGCATCATGTCAGGGAAAATAGATCAGTGAAATAAAGTTAATATGTGAACTGAGGTTTAGGAGCAAAGACAGGTCTCAACCAGACCTCTAATAACCCTGCATTCTGCTAGAACTCTGCTCATTCACCCACTTCCCTTTGTAACTTTGGACCAACGACGCCCCTGTCCCCTGCTAAGGCAGCTCTTCCTCATTTATTTTCTTCTTACTCTTCTCGTCGTCCTGTTTTATCTTTTGGAGCAAGAACTGGATGTTTTTGCATCTTTACTCAGATTTTTCTTCAGACCATCTTCAAAAAATAAAAACTTTAAAACTCACTTCATAGCAGCAGAGGGAAATCATGAAAAAAAAATCTAATTTGAATAATTACTACAACCACAATGTTTTCGGGACAGAACTGTTTAGATAAACTATATTTGTGTCTGGTTTTTTTTTGTTTCGTTTTCTTAAATATTGCTGATCCCAAATGCCCATTAAAAACTCACAATTGAAAGCCGTCCACCTATTTTTAATGAAAACAAACTGACGTAAAATGTGACATCATTTTGACTTGACATGTTTTACATTTGCATATTTTTCCATTTTATAATTTTGCATTAAAAAAAACAAGTTCAGAAGAAATAAATACTGTACATATATAGACCGATAAATCTGCAGACAGAAAAAGAATTTTAGACTCTTTTTTACATTTAAGGAAGGAGAAATTCAAAGCTTAAATCTGTCAAATGCATATTATACAAGAAGTATTTTCTGTCTCTTAAAAAAAAAAAGTCACACAAGGTTTGTTCTTGCAGTTCAGGAAATTTTGCGCAGCAGTGAAATTAAAATGCTCATTTGAAAGTTTTTTTCCACCCTGGCTCCAGGGCATAGCTTACCAACAAAATTCAATCGCTGTCATCTGATCTTTGACCTCTTGCATCATTAAATAACATTTCCTATTGCCTCCAAGTTAATGAGTAAAATTAACTATTAAGAATTTCTTTCTTTACTTTTAGAATATTAAATAATTCCATCACCTTTATACAAAAAGTACACATAGACAATCTCAGTTTTGCCAGTGCATCTCTGCTAACCTCTCATCAGGTTTAGACCTTGGGTCCAGTAGCAGACCGCTGCGGGTACTAGTATTGCTGATGAGGAAGGTGAAGTAGTATAAAAGCAGCAGCTGATATACACATTATTGCATTATGACATCAACATAGTAGGAAGATGACGGCCATGAGTTCCTTTTCAGACAGTTTGTTGGTGAATCAGCATGGATTTGGCTTTTACATACATGTTCCACATGGACAAAAGGGTGCATAGATAAACACACAATAAGTCCTTCAACCTGTCAGTTCAATACTGGAAGACTGGGATGCTTCAAGTTGTTCAGGAGGAAGAAAACAAGAGAAACATTGATGATTTGAAAACATAACAGAAAACAAGACCACTCCGCTTCAAAAACATTTGCACTAATAATACAGTTTTCTTTTAAAATCTCCTGCTAATATTTTTAGTTCAGTTATACTCTGGTAGTTAAAGATGTGCATCTTTTTATCAACCTGTTTTCAGGGCAAGTAAAGAGAAAGGACACTTAAATTACATCTATAAATCCTGTACATACAAGTTTCTCTGGGGTGAGTTTTTAAAAAAAAAAAATTCAAATGTTTATGAACATAGGCAAAATATGCTTATTTTGTCTCTTAGTCAGATTTTTATAAAACATTAAATATAATGTCAAAGGATATGCAGTTTTATATGGGACACAGCTGGAACTGTTCTATTTCATTGTGTGCATATTTTCTGCTGACGTACTGATAACTCCAGGCAGATACATTCACACCTTCAGTTATTCTGAATTAGGACATTTATGTTCAGCAAACATTCGAGCTAGATCTAATAATAATAGATTTAAGTCCATTTAGTAATTTGGAGATTTTATTATAAAACAAGTCTTACATTTATATTTATTATAAATAAATATAAATTCACAGAGTATCGACTGAAAATTCCCAAAGCTGAAACAGCCTTAAATGTTTAAAATCTAAAATTATTTTAGCCCAAGAGGAATAAGTAAAACTTCAAGCGGTGTGCTAACATATTATGCTATATATATATATATATATATATATATATATATATATATATATATATATATAGTTAATATGCATGGACTTTACCTCATTGAATATTTTAATCTGATTAGATGTGTTCTTGATTAACAATCAAACAGCAAACACCCCTTATAGTTTAAATCAGGTCAAACATCAAGATAAGAACAACAATGAAGTGGGCCGAGTTGAACAAGTTTATCGAATAAGATGAATTAGCTGGGAGTCAATATGAGATGATTAAAATCTTGAAATGGTTATGGGGAAATTTATTACTTGAAGCAAAACAAGGTAAATAAATTCTATTTTATATATATATATATATATATATATATATATATATATATATATATATATATATCTCAATCAATGACACCAAGTTCACTTATAGATTGTTCCATATAATGTCTAACTTTAACCATCTGCTCTGAAATAAAAATGTGGGTCAGTGATACATAGACAGGCTTTAACCAGGAAGTTCAGTTTAAAATTAATCTACTGGATGCAAAAGCAGCAACAAAGACCACAGCTGAAACATCAGACCCATTAAGGTTCTCTGTGGTTTTAAACAAGCTGCAGGCTGATCCGACTGTCAGAACCATGAACCATTCCAAGTCATCTGACAATCAGTTTTCTCCTCAAAAAATAAAAGGTTATTTACTTCGCTTTTTCTGTAAGGTAGGGGTTCCTTCATGAATGGTGTCCAGGTTTTTCAGCACTTTTAGCCTTTATAACATTTGATCCAGTTATGCCTCCAACATCCATGAACAGATACATACACTGCAAAAAAAGATCTAAAAATAAGCAAAAACCTCTGAAATTAAGTGCATTTCCATCATGGAATGAGTATTTTTACTCTTGAAATAAGATTAGATAATATGCACCTGAAATAAGAAAATGCAATTGTTTTTTTTTATTATTTTAATTGCCAATAGTCTTGTTCCATTGGCAAACTGACTTACCTCCTCAATTCAAGAAATTAAACACAGTTGTATTAAACACAGTTGATTTGTCAAATGATGGATTCAGTTTTTGTAAAACTGTTACAGATGCAGACCAGAAAAATCCCGACGGTACCGCTTCGCAGAACATTGAAAAATAGACTTAAGTCATAAACTTCAAACTTCGGTTTCAACAACCTCTACTTTGTAACGATCCAATTTAGGCTAGACCAGATCTCGAAGGATAGATAAAGATCAAATCCAGACAGGAAGGGAAATAAGCCCTTTAGTTCAATGCAGAACCATTGAGTCATTGTGCCACTCCCAGCAGGATGCTGCCCAGGGCAGAGAACCATTTCTGCCCTTATTGAAAACCACCACTACCAGGAGAGACGCCCATCAAAGTATAGATTAGCTTGATTGCTGTTATTTGAAGATGTATGTTACTGGAGGAAAATGACTTTCACTGCTGTTGTAGTTTAAGCTAATATGACACTGGTTGGTTTTATTTGCTCCTCGCCTAACAGAACAGAAGTAAACCATCAGTTTACTTGCATTGCAAAATTAGAAAAGGTTACATCAAGGTTGGCAGAATATCAGAAAAACAAAACGATAATCGTCTTCTTCACTCTTGGTTTTAATAATGTTGGGATGATCAGTGTTAAGAAGCAAACCACCAGCAATGTCTGAGGGATAACAGAAGGACAGCAGTAGTTTTCTTTGTTGCCTTTTTGGTTTGTGACCTCAGTGGGAGGAAGAATAGTTTCTAAGTGGTTGGATTTTTTTTTTTTTATTCCACCTTTGTATAAAAACCTAAAATATGTGGATTATCAAAGTGTTTTCACTGCTTTGACATTTAGATTACTGAATTCTGTGTCTGATTCTTACCTCGATCAATACTGACTTTTGTTTTAAGAACTATAACAAATAAGCTGGGCCGACGGTTCTTTGATAAAAGGTAAAACAATTACAATATCCCCATTTATGAATGTAACTGTATGGATCTTATGGTTTGAATTTTGCCATTTGCCAGAAAACCCATCAAAGTAAATGCTCTATTTAGTATTCATTGATGGAAAATATATATATATATTTTTTTTTTAATGAGAACTCTTATGCCAATCAGCTCCAATTAATTCATAATACAAAAACATTAAATCTGATTTTCTCTACTTCTTTCCCCATTAAATGGACAGTAAACAGGAATGATCTTTTTTTTCTCTTCCAATTTCAACAACCCTTATTGCTTTCTTTAAAATGCTCAGTAGATATTTTTGAATTTTCAATAACTGCATACAGTTTTCCTTCTTCCCAGTACGTCTTTGAGCTTTTCACACTCTGGTTCAGTTCAGTTTCAAGTGAGTGGATTCATCAAAGACACAGCCTCCCCTCTCCATCAGATGGTCTCTGTCCCTGGCAGAAGTAGGACAATGTCATCCGTTCATGTTTCTGAGGGAAGATTTAGTCTGGTGAGCAAGACGAGGCAGCAGTTGAACCTGCAGCAAACAGCGGGGCAGTGGTTGCTAGTTCAACTCCCTGCTGCTTTTGCTGACATCAGTAGGGCGTGAAGAGAATGGATCCTTGGTTGGTTCTGATCGGTCCAGGAGCTGGACGCAGGAAGGAGGCAGTGAAGAGGGACGAGGAAGACGGAGGGCGAGGATGGAGGGAGATGGTTGGGGCGAGGGGTGAGGAGGTGGGTGAGAGAAGAGCAGAGGAGGAAAGAGATGATGGAGGGAGGGAGATGGAAGATGGGAGTGGGGAGGATGGGGAAGGAAAAGGAGAGGAAAGAAAGGAAGATAGGGAAGGCTTCACCAGCTCCTTCTGAGGAAAGAAGGAGAGGAGTGATGAGGTGATGGCAGGAGGAGTCAAAAAGGAAGAGGAAAGCATCAAATTAAGGAGATTAAATAAATAGAAATGGAGAAGCAAAACTCCAAACAGTAAAAATAAAAAAAATGGTCACAAAAGCATAAAAATAGGCAAAAAGGAGAATAACAAAGAAACAAAAAGGACAAAAAAGTATAAAAGAGGAACGCATGACAGGAAATGATTTGATGAAAAGACAAGCAGGTAGAGGAGAAGAGATGAAATGGAAAAACAGAGGAGGAAAATAAAGATTTACAGAGAAAGGAATATTTAAATAAAGGAGCACATCAAATGAGGACAAAAAGTAGAAAATTAGATTCAGTTTATATCTATTTTTCTTGGTGAATAAGATATTTTCAGATGAAGGAAAAGTTGCCAGAGGATACTCACAGTAAGTGAGCTGCGCTGCTGCTTGTTGTAAGGGCTGTATTTGGGTTTGCTGGGTTTTCCTGCCACTCTGTCCTTGTGTCTTCTGCTTGAAATGTGCTGCAAAGTTCCAAACAGCATAATCAGAACATGAAGCTTTACCCAAAGATTAAGTTTTTCATACTCATATATAAAGTACTTATCTATAATCAGCTCTTAGTTTATACAGTAGCTGGATTAAGAATGGAAGTTCTACAAGGACGGTTTGATTGTTTAAAAGGGTTATTTGACTAAAATAGTCATTACAGACGTTAGTGAACTAGGAAGCCATGTGAAATCTTCAGCAAATAATATCCAACGTAAATTATATACACACACAAAAAAAAAAATCAGATCTCCATTTTTTTTTTTTTTTTTTTTTTAAACATATCCAATTAATCTGTTTTATTAATTAAGCTTCATAACAAAAATGACAGGTTTCAAGCATCCTCATCTGGGAGGGGACCTTAATTTAAAATGTATGCTTTTAAACATGCTTGTAAAATAATTTCCCCAACAAACAATGAAAATATAACACTAAATGTTTGCAGCATAGTGAGTGACATCACTGATCAGTGCAAATTTAGGAACCAAAAGTTAAGAACTGATGCCACTGTCAACCATGGTAGCCAAATAATGGATTGGTAAAACCAAAAAATATGATCTTCTCAAAATTAAATCTTCATAAACAAAAATTTCAGTAATTGATTTAAACAAATAATTACCCAGCTTGGCTGTTTTAGTTTTTTTTTTGTCTTGATAATCAGATTCTTAACCATCAGCAGAATTAGACTGACAGGCAATAGCAAATATATAAATAGAGAAAGGAAAGTAAAATCGGACCAAAATGGCAAAACATGAGTAAGATCAGAGGGAGCAACAAAAATCAAGAGTCTAATCATCACATGACTTTGGCCTACCTGTTTGAGCTGTATTTCAGAGTTGACATGAACGTCACAGATCTGGCAGTGGAAGGTCTTGTTCTGCAGGCCTGAGCCCTTCAGGACTGAGCCATTGGCGTTTTTCAGCTTGGCTCCTGGTCGTGGGTAGGCTTTGATTGGGCCTGCACCACTGCGAGCCTCCAGCATTGTTTTGTGCTTTGATCCTTAGAAATAAAAAAACCCCAAAACATTAGGGTAGACTTTACACTGCGAGACAAAAAGAATAGAAGGTCAAAGAATCAAGCCAGGACAAAAGACAGAAAAAAAAAAAAAAGATTTCAAACATGCATGCACTTATTTCCTGGAATTATTTAGAGAAGAAGCTAAACTTTCTTTGAACTGTAACTGAATAAGGAAAAAACATCTTATTTATTTAGGCAGTCATGCTATTCTTGATGCCTCTCGGGCAGCTTATTTTTGGCCCATAACTTGATTGTTCTTTTGCATTCATTTTTATTAGTCATTGTCATGCAATTTATTCATGGTAGGATGTGATAGAAATACCTGCATGAATAAAGATATAAAAAAAATAAAGGTAACACTGAAATAATACATTATAGATCTGAATAAATAAAAATACTTTGTTCTATGTGTTGAATACTTTGCTGAATGTGCTGACAACAAAAATCATTGATGGAAATCCAATTTAACAACAAATGGAGGCCTTGATTTGGAGTCACACACAAAATTAAAGTGGAAAAACACTACAGTACAGCTGATCCAACTTTGATGTAATGTCTTTAAAATAGGTAAAAATGAGGCTCAGTATTGCGTTTGGCCTCCATGTACCTGCAGGACCTCCCTACAACACCTGAGCATGCTCCTGTTGAGGTGTGGATGGTCTCATGAGAAATCTCATCCCAGACCTGGACTTTGTGATTATAATGTGATGAAATGTCAAAAGAGTAAGTAGTTTGGCACATCCCTATGCAATTAAGAGATTCAAATAAGCTTAAAAATGAATGAACACAGATTGTCTGGCACTGTATTCAGAAAGGCCTAGGCAATCCTAAGAGTAGGGCGAAGTTAGGATCGACAGTACAAAGATCTCATTAAAACATGTGCACACAATGCCTTAATGTGTTCAAGCATGGGGGTGATGTGGATAATGAGATATGACCCATTTAACTCACATTTAATCTGTAATGAAACCAAACATGCAAAACTAAAATTAATAACGACACAAAATGCATCTAGTTTCTTTCCTAACCTGCATTATGAGCCTCCAGCTGAGACAGAGAGTTGACGGCAACTTTACAAAGTGAGCAGTACAGCAGCTTTTTTGCCTTCTCCTCCTCAGACTCCACCGACAGAGGAGCTTCCTGGGAGGAGGAGGTCGTCTTTAGAGAAGGAGGTGCAGCGCTGGATGGGGAGGAGATGACTGAAGATGCGGGGCAGGATTTTGAGGAGGAAGAGGATGAGGAAGAAGATGAGAGGCCAGGTGCAGGAAGAGCAGAGGGTGGACTTGATGGTGGAGGCTCACTGCCGACTCTGCTGGCAGAGGGTGAGGAGGAAAGAGGTGAGGTGGAGGAGGGGAGGCAGGATTTAGGAGAAGACAGAGAGTCTCTGGAGCTCGATAGTAGTTCTGCATAGAGAAGGAGAAATAGGAGGAGTGAATCTCATATAAATAGCTGGAGTATTCAGCTTGGAGTTAGTTATCTGAAGATAAATTGAACCTGTGCACTGACTGTTGTTGCAGTTGGAGGAAAGCGGATGGACCGAACCAGCAGGACCACAGCTGTTCCCATTGGTCTCTGGGGTGCCCGACAGCTTAGCTTTGGCCTTGTTCAGCTTCTTAGCATGGCGACTGCCTCTATAATGAGCCTCTGCCTGAGACTGAAGAGAAAAAAAAAAGAACAGAGAGCCAATTTGCTTTCCCTATTTTTTATTATTTCTTTTAATCTCATTGACCTTTGTCACCCTTTTGGATTTATTGATCTCATTACTCATTACACTCATTACTTGTAATTCACATAGAACAAGCAAGCAGAGTGTTTCATAGCAGCACTGTCAGCAAGAAAAAGTTGATCGGCGATCATGCATTTTACTGATCATCATAACATTCTACTACAGTGCAAGACTGCTGATTATAAACAAGAATCCTCAGTTTTCTTTGCTGGAAATACAGAAGATTTCTGCACCTCTACCATCAGTATCAGCCTTGCTGTGGAGGATGAGGCACCATTCTTACATCAGGTTATACCTTTTAGAGCTTAGAGAGGGTTTTCCTGACCTTTTGGTTTTGTAAGTTCTTTTATACTTGTTTAGCAACCAGCATGTATACCCTCATACATCTAGTAGGTAGAAAGCATTGACAAAACCCAACATGACAGGAGGCAAAGGGCCATTTAAAACCCAATGAGACATTTCAAAATATGAGATCCTTGCAACTGATTTACTGTACCTTTTAAAGCTGACAGAATAACTTTAGTCAGATGTATTAAAAGAAAAAACAACCAAAAATACTTGGTCTACAAACAATCTATAAAGTCCAGCCTATGTGCAGTTTAGATTTGTGTGTGCTTCTGACAAGTTCTTGACCGTTTAGAGCATTTAATGTAACAGGAACTTAAAGTGTTCTCTATCTGCTGAAATAGAGCCTAAGCAGCTTTGTAGTGTTTGGATCCAATTATTTATTTGTTAATTTAGCATCAGTTGGGTTCTCTTTTAAAATCAAAAATAATCACACTCAATAAAATTGAATAATTTTCCACATAATCGATTCAGTTTTCTGTGACAAAACATAATTTCCTTTCATCCATGTGACCCAGAATGGCTTCTTAGTAACCTTCCTGAAGGATTTCCATGCATCCAAAAGGAGAAGGGTCCTTGTATGAGATATGAGCAAGTTTTCCTTTATGGGAGAAGTTTTAAACCTCAATCTAATTTCAATAAATCATGTCTTGAAATGATTAACAGCACCTTCACAAAACCATTAAAGTCTGTTGCAAGATGTGACAGCTCAGTCACATGTCATAGCCAATTGGTGTAAGTGTAGAAGAGTGATGAATCTGACTTGAGGTCATATTCTGTGAAATATCCTCATCTTACTGCCTCTGCTGAAACGTCAATGTTCAAAGCCAAGACAAGCAGAGAGGAGCAAGCAGGACATTGAGAGAATCAATAAAAGGGAACTTCTCAAGTATGAATTAAAATATTTTTTATTTTTTAATTCAGTTTGCTAAAAGCCCAAATATCATTTTACAGCTAGAGAACAAAATTCTTTCAATCTCACGGTTATAATAGATAAAAATTAGCTTCGAACATGTCTAGAGAAGAATAATAAAGTATGATATATGGGTATGAATAAAGAAATATTTGATTTTAGTAAAAAAAAAAAACTTTCAAATATTGTGACTGAATGTGAAGCTTTTTAATGGAAACAAAACAAGGAGTACTTTTGCTTTTCACAGAGATCCTCTACATACAAACCTGTGCAAGCAGTGAGCATAAAGGATTTGTGTTCATCCATCATCCGCTCTGTTGGTAACCTTTCTGCCTAAATAGTTAGAAACCAATGAAAACAACAAGCCTGAGAGACAAAGACAAACACGTCGTGTCAAAGTTAACACGGACAGCTTTGATTCAGGAGCCTGGCCAATGATGCGTTCACAGATGGAGAAATGTAGCCTCGTGAGACCATCCTGATCTCGCGTGCTTTCAAGGTTTCACTTGCAGATCAGTCTGGAGACTTTCCGTTAAAGAAAATTTGGAGCCGTTCACCAAACGAACGTCCAATCAGCGTTGGCTTTGAGGCGGGTTGAGGTGTGACGCAACGAGAAGCTCGACAGTTCAGTCTAAAGAACATGGCGGCTTCAGCCGATGGAACTAGCGTTAGCATGGCTATCGAGCAAGTTTTATCGGAATTACAGAGTATTTCTTCACTGAAAGAAGAGCAAAACACTGCTCTGGAGGCTTTTCTCAGAGGAAAAGATGTTGTTGCTCTTCTCCCGACTGGTTTCGACAAGAGTTTGATCAATCAATTGGCTCCTCTTCGTCGTCGCTCTGTTAGGTCATATGCTTCGTTGATCTGATTGGTTTATTTGGCCCGTCTATCACCAACATAGTCCAATCAGCTAACCAGTATTTTCGCCCCTTCCCAACTTCAACGGAAGGTTTCCAGATGGATACGCTGAGCAAATCCATCTGGTGGACTCAGGTTAGGAGAAATGCTGGTTTGTCACAGATTTTTTTATTCTCGTTTGAATTCTGTCAGTAGAAACAATTACTGATGTCTGCACATCATGATAAGTAATTGTTCACTGAATGGTTTTTAACCATAATTTATATGTTGTATCAGCCAAATGCAGGAGAAAGTGTCTGGCTACAGTGGCAATATGAGTAAAGAAATTCTTAAAATAGGAGTATTTAACCTTAACATGAGTTGGTAAATAAGATAATCTAATAGTGGTACGAGTATATTTCCCCTTAAAGATAGACTGCAGTTGTTTTTTTCTTATTTTAAATGTAAATTGTCTTATGCCATTGGTAAAGTGATGCATGTAGTGCTCAATTCAATAAGAAAAGCAAGAATTTAAAGAAACAAAAAATACTTTTATAGATTTCTTAGGTTTTTGCAGCGGGGGAGGATTTAGCTCATCTTAGCTTGAAATTATTATTTTTTAAGCCAACCAGCAAGTTGTCAGAAAGCTAACTGCAGATGTATTTAAATATTTCCAGCAGAGTGAGAGAGAGGTTTGTGCTTTAAAATCTGCTGCTGTGGAGGCAAACCTTTACAGACTAAAGATCTTTTGAAAAGAAAGACTTTTTTATTGTACTACTTTTGTGGTCTTTTAAATAGCATTTGGGGGTTTCCAAAAATAAACAAAAAAGGCTTTTAAATCCCAAGATAAAAGGGCTAGACAATAATAGCATTTGCAAAAGAATCTGGATTCAAGCAGTGCCATTTCCAAATTACAGAGGCACTCAATTTTTTGTAAATGTCACTATACATTTACCAGAGAAAGACACGCATTGCTTTTCACTCCAGCCTTTTAGATGGAGGTAATACACTTGAAGTGGGTTTACTGCTGCACAAAGGGGAAGAGAAAATTACAGCTAGTGCTGAGATCCATTCATGAGAGTTAGAAGAAAGTACTAGTTCAGAAAACAGTCACTCTGGATAAGAGAGCATTGAAGGCCATGAAAACAATCACAAATGTGTCCAATAAGAATGAAATTCATCTCAACAAGCTGGATTAAAAACTTAGGAAAAAAGTTACATTTCTAATTTTAATTAGGCCTCATCTCCAAACATGCACATTTGTATAGAATGTATTTGTTGCATATTTATAGTCAGTGCAGAACAAAATCTAAAAATTACTATTAATATTTGATTTTGGCATAATTGCACAGCCTTAGCAGGGAGGGTGCTAATTTTTTAAGTCAAATTACATCTGTCAGACATTTTCCCTCACCTCTTCAACGGACATGATTCCTTAACATAGGAGCTGACGTTTGAGCCACTGTTTGTCCTTTTGTAATGTGTGGGTAATGGAGGATGCATGATGCCTGATAAGGTGTTTCGATAGCAACATAAATCATTCTTTTGGACTTTTCGTGCTGCCACCTGGATCTCATCCTACTTTTCCATCTCAAGATGAAATACATCTTGAGATGTAAAGAAATACACAAAATATGCTATATGACCAAAATATCTAAGTTTTGATCTCATTTGCCCCCCCTTTCTGTAGGTTACGCCTAACCCCAGGGTGTTGCATTCCTTAAGACACTAGAGGGCACCCAAACACAGATAGTGGAAGGGTTATTAATTCTTTTATAGTGTCCCATGTTTATTTAGTGTGTAAATGTGTAAGCTTACTCAAAAAAGAATCAAGTCTCCCTACAGAGCAGGTTATAATATAACTGAGGGGTAAACAAACCTAACCCATTTGCAATAGGTCTAAGGAATTCAAAGACCACCTTCATATTTCAATAACAGTTTTCACCAACGGTATCCCATGCACCCGAGAAAACACAACGCATCCCTAAATTTAAGCTTCTTTTACTAACCAATGAGGACTTCAGTCTGAATCAGCATTGCAGGTATAGCATGAGAAGCACATTAGGAGAGCAGGCCTTGCAGCAGCTGGAAGAGTTCAGGCGTACCACTCAGTAAGGTTTGCCAGCCCACAGCTCTCACAGCATTATCACCATTATTTTACACCTACAAAATTAGGCACTACTCCTGGAAGCATAAAGCTGCGCCTCAGGTTGTGCTTGGAGGCTTAGACCAAAAAAAAAAAACTTAAACAGTGGACTGATTAATATTGGAGTGTGTTTGCTTGAGCACACATCCGGACTGATGAAGCGGAAAGAAAATCTATTAAACAGTGAGCGGTTCAATCAGAGTGGCAAACATCAAACAAGGAGCCTGGAAATCTAGTTTGGGGTGTATATTTAATACCAACTCAGAAGATGAGATCCTGAAGAAGCCTACTGCATCTTAGAGCTGTTATATTACTAAAAGCTGCATAAGGAGGAATGGTTTACATTTAGTGTTCAATAAGAAAAAACATAAGACTGTAAATATCAAAGAAAAACAAAAAAAAAAACACCAGGATGATAAAGTGTTAATTGTCTGTCACGCATGTTATTTTAATGCCAAAAATGTTTAATTCTATTCACATAAGACCAGGGCATGCCCCCCCCCATAAGTTTTCTTTGTTTCCTACATTGCTTGTCAGAAACTCCAGGCTGCTCCTCTAATAAATAAACAGCCTACTCTTTGGATAGCCAATCAGATGACAGCCATGTCTCAGTAGATTTGCAGTTGTACTGTACTCTGCATTTTTAAAATGACAGGCTGATTAGTGTTGTGTGACAAGTTCAAAGATTGGGAAATGTTGGGATTTTCATAAATTAATTTAAATTCTGAAAATGATTCCTCACATCCTTTCTAATTATCCACCAGAATGTAGATCACTGGATTTGAAAAGATAAGGGAACCACTGAACAAATTGTTCTGTTTTTCGCTGATTTTTTCCAAGTGAATCAGCTCACTATGACTCTACTCGTGACTTTTTGGCATCCCTATTACTCAGCCTTTACTTAGCTTGTTAGAATGAGTTAATGCTCCTTGTTTATTTCCTTTTTAATCACCAGTAATACCTCTATTCATGTTCGCTCATGAATAATGCTACCATCTCGCTGAGAAGTCATGTTTGATCGACATGTTAGTAATGAGGCAGCTCATTAAGGTCTCAGCAGACATAAATAGCAGACTGCTGAGCATCATTTACACAGTGCTGTGTTAATAAAGCGCAGAGGAGTGTAGCTTACACCTGATTATCAAACAAGCAACAATTAACGAGCCTGGAGAAGCGTTCCCCCTACAGAAATGTAGACCTTTCATCATATTTCTAATCATCACCTTCAATTGGTTAAGGGCATGAGAATTTTTCATACAAGGTCAGAATGTATTTAATCCTACTTAAGTTTCCTTCTGCAACAAATATTTTCTCTTTCATTAACATTTTCCTGCATATAGTTGGTGAATTCAATTTAACAGTACTGAATTGCATTCAGAAAAGTTTTTTCTGTTAACACCAGAATTAGCAATATGTTTAGAGATGTATAATGGAACTTGTTCTGAAGGAAAAGAATCCATTGGAAAGTAAAATACATCACCTATTAAAAAAAAAAAAAAAAAGCCCAATTAGCACCCTCAAGTGAACATATTTTGACAACTTTATTCTGGTATTCTGGCTGTGAAATGGAGAGTTCCTCAATAATCCATTTTTGGGTCAGTAGCAAGAACAAGTATTTGTTATGGTGCTGATTTTGCAAAGCATGCAGAAGTCTTTCATTTTTATCACAGGGGGTCTGAAAACTCAGGAACAGAATCCATCTAGAAAAATCACAAGAAAATAGGCAAGCTGCTTGATAAGAAGGCAACAACTGGCATAATTATAAGAAATTGGAAGAAGTTCAAGAGGACTGTCAATCTCCCTTAGTGTCAGGTCTGGACACAGGCTTGCTCTTCCATGCCTGTCTGAGATCCATTAAGATCTGGATAATCGAAAGCAGGAATGGATCATGTGATCAGACAAGAATAGACTTTTTTTATCTAAAATCCAATGGTCAAACAATCCCAAGAACAGCATTCCACCTGGAAACAAAGGTGGAAAAATCAGTTGCCGGGTTTTTTTTTTTTTTTTAACCACAAATCTGACAGCACAACTGCAGGTAAGGGTGAATGGGGCCATTGTTTGGGAGATCTTAGCCAACAACCTCCTCCCCTCAGTAAGTACATTAAAGATAGAGTTATGGGTGGGGGTGGATGGGTCTTCAAGAATGACAAGGACAAGAAATGCTCAGAAAAGGAAACTAAGGAGATGCTCTGGAAGAAGGATCTACAGATTCTGGAGTAGTCTAGCCAATCTCCAAACCTCCAGAACAATTTTCAGAGGAAGCTGCCCAGCTACAGCCTCAAAACCTAAAGGATCTCGGGTTTCATTTATCAAGGATTGTTTGGAATCTGTACAAAAAAAAAAGAAAGAAAAAATAATACATTTATAAAACTGTGCATACTCACTAAAACCAGGCAATTTTCATTTATAGATCACAGCTGTACTTTAATGTCTGCATACAAGGCTGATAATGCTCTGCTCTCCACACACCAACATTACACTATAAATAGTCCATGTAAAACACTTGAATGTCATTCTATATTTAAATGAGCCAGCTTATCAAGGTTTTTGAAAATGGTTACCAATGGCAACTGTAGCCAAGAGAGCCAGAAAATGAAGTTTAACCAAGATGTTTGTTTGCGATTCTGAAAGTGAGATAAATACACTGCTCAAAAAAAAATAGAGAGAACACTCAAAAACACATCCTAGATGTGAATGAAGTATTCTCAGCGAGTACTTCGTTCTGTAAAAAGTTGGATATGCTGACAAACGCCACACAAAACCATCAATGGAAAACAAATGTATTAACCAATGGAGGCCTGGATTTGGAGTCACACACAAAATAAAAGTAGGAAAACACACTACAGGCTGAAAACTGATGTCCCTAAAACAGATGAAAATATGGCTCAGTGTTGTCTGAGGCCTCTGTGTACCTGTATGATGAGATAATGTCACAGATGGGCTTAATTTCTGATGGTAACTGGTTTCAGTTTTCGTCATCTGTGTCGCCAATTTCCCCCTCTCTCTCCAAAATGTTTGTATCAGTATGGATGGGTCAGAGTTGCTGTGAGCTCCTAAACATTTCCAAGGCAGGTTTGTTTATGACAAATCACAACATTTAGAATGTGGCATACATGAGTTTCAGGCCCTGTGTTGTGCATCTGTAAGCTTGATAAATAAGGCCTCCAGAAAAGCTCTGTATAGGAGGTCCAAAATATCTGCTACACTGTGTGCAACCTTAAAGGAAACATGCAATATCTATTTTTTCCTAATTTATCAAAAACTTTTTTCATAAAGTAAAATGCAATCTAATCAGAAAAAAAACTATGATTTTCTGCAATTTCTTTACCTAGATTATGTCACTGAAACCTCTAGAAAGCTTTGATAAATATTAAAGGCTTCCATTTTGCAGTCAAAACCTGCAAAACCTAATTTATAATTTCTTTCATATTTAATGGGAAAAAAACTGTTTATCACCAATTATCTAAGACAATTTTGGTATGCATTAAGACTTAAAAAAAGACACTTTCCTGTATGCTTTTACAGTATTTCTTACTAGATCAGATGACTAAATTACACAAAATTTTAAAACGCACCAATGAGGCAGTCGAGGCTCATTTAGAAAATTCTGCCACAGTCCTGACTGACACCAGAATAATGGAACATTCCACACAATTCCTTAATTAACCCATCGAACTAACTCACTATTGGTGAAAGTAAAGTTTTTAAATCATAATATTGGTCTTTGAAGCACTCTTTACGTAAAGCCAAGTGGTGAATATTTTAACACAAAGATTACTTAATGAAATTAGCCCTTAATGATTATCTTTATCACTACTTTTAAAGAAATACAAATTTGCCTTGCCTATTAATGGGGCTATACACAAACCTTCCTTGCCTTCAACTTAGATCAAACAAATCTGTCAATAATTTGAATGACTCCTTAATTTAAACATTGCCAGTAATTCATGAATGTAGTTTTCAAGATTAGGTATTTTGGATAATCCCAACTCTGCAATAAATCCAACACATTCTTCAGTGTGTGATCAATGAAATGTTTGACACCGTGAATCCCTCGTAGTTCAGATTTAACGTTTCTTTGTTTTAAAACATAAAAAAAACAAAACAGAATTTGAAACAAGCCCAAGATGTTTAACTTTGATCCATTGGCAGAGACTTCACTAAATTATGGCTCTCATATACCTCCATATAACAACAGTGACACAAACTTACATCAGAGTTGAATCTCAGTTGGCAAACACTACAGGAGATGACCTGTTTCTTCTTGGGTACCATGGTAACACCAAATGTGTGATTGATGACAGCCTTCTGCACTGGATCCATCTGCTCAAAACAAACAGGATATAGAGAACAGCAGCTGCAGATGATTATCTGAGCCGTGATGACAGCTTTTTTATCTCAGTCAGACTAGACAGCACACAGCTAAGACAACATGCACACGTTTATGTACCGTGTTAAAGTTTGGAAAGAGTCCGACTGGTGACGGTGTCTCCATGGGAAACGGCAGGAATGGTTTCATCATCACTGAGGGACTGGTGGCGCCAATTAGACCAGGCAATGGCCCGCCCACTGCACCGCTCCCACTTCCTGAAAATAAATTAATAATCTCTTATTTTACTGGTTCAGAAGATCAATATGAATAAGAACAATGTGAAGATGTGTAACAATATCCAATGAATACATTTATTGTCAAGTTAGAATTATAAACGATGATCAAATGTACAAATAAATACCATAAAATACCTTAAACTTTCATGAAATTAGCCCCCCAAAAAACAACATTCTCCGTCAACTTTGTGTTAAAGTTTCACTTTAGTTTCGGTAAGTATTGTCAGGTCTGCTCTGCTTGTGTAGCCTTTTTTTCCTCTTCTTTACTCTCCCTGCACAGATGGTCTTAATTTGGTAATTATCACACCTGTCTGGAAATGGGCCCTGCTTCAGGTTTCACACTACATCGCTCTATGAAGTGTGTCAAAGTGTACGTAAGGGCTTGATTGCTCAGATTACAAGCGTACAAAAGTTGGAGAATTTGGACAGAACAATTTACTCAGTACTTGAGCCTCTGTGTCATAAGTAACAGAGGCCTTAAAAATGTAATGTTTTGTTAAAGTTAGTGCTAAAAGGGATTTTAAAGCTGCAAAAAGAACTTACTTCATACTCACACATGTACAGTATAGTAAAGAGGAATTATTTCAATGATTACTCCTGTAACTCCTTTTATTGGCATGGCACTGGAGCTTGTTTTTGGAGCTTTAAAAAGTACAATTCAAAGGACAGATTTAGCAGTACAACACATGTCTTAAGTGAGGAGAAGGTAGAAGAATATACCAGAACATGGGGGGGTTAGGTGTAGCTGGAGCAAAAAGCAAGGAACGAGAACAAGAAACTGTATTAATGAAATAAATTATTTAAAAATAAGTGTTTACACATGTCGTTATATTTTTTTTTAATAATTTGATATGTTTTTCAATGTTTGATAAAGCAGGAATTATTAATGTCCTTTAAAAAAGGCCTATTTACAGGAATTAATTTGGTATTTTCACATGAAAAAGGACCATATTACCAATTCTAAATTGTGTTTTTCTAGACAGAATGTAGAGCAAATGTGTCAAATCAAAATTGATCATGTAATTGAGACTAGAATAAAAAAAATAGATGGCCAATTTATTATTATTATTTAGACAGATTTATTAAATTATTTTAATTAATTTTATTTTATTCATTTTAATAAATCTGTCTAAGTCTATTTAAGCGAAATATGGAGGAGAATAACAGAACAGATTACAAGGACGGCAGAAGTGCGAATCCTTCTGCCGTCCTTGTAATGTAGGTAGGTGTTACATATGCAGCATATAGTGTGTTGAGGAGAAAGTAGCTAGTAGAGATAAGTAAGCTTCTTCTATCTGTACAGATCCATATTCACAGCTTGTAGAAGCTCTACAGAGAAATCTTTCATAACAACGGGGCGTGGGTGGAAACACGGAGGAAAACTGAATCAGTCCTGACACTGAGTGGGAGGGAAAGGAGGGAATAAATATTAAATTTATTAGATACAATTCTCCTACTTAAGTAAACATATCCGATCCTCTTAAAACATTAAGGTGAAAGAAAAAATATTGTTGCTATTTTTACATTTATAATAACCCTTTAATAAATACATGATTTATAAGTTTTAGTTATAAAAAAGTATGAGGGAAATATGACATATTTCACCTTAAAAAATGATTTTAATCCAATAATAACTTACAAAAAAATAAATGTAGGTAATCTTAGCTGGGTTAAATGCGAACATTATTAAAATTATGGCTCACGGTCTTCTTATGTAACCTTTCAAAATATCAATCCTTTATGAAAACAGGTCAAAAATAAATAATGTTATAAAAGAAATACATGACTGAAATGTAAGAAAAATGCAGAAAACCACAGCCCCACTTATAATACTAATGAAGCAAGAATAATAATCCTAATAAAAATCATTACCATTATAAAATCTGTGACTCCGAATTTCTTCCATGAGTACATCTCACCTTAACAGCTGCTATTTTATCTTAAAAAAACATACAAAGTTAAGTCAATTTCATTACCGTTAATGGCATAAATGAAATGTTAATTATTAATTGCATCTTCTAAATTACAAAATCTAAGTCTCTATACCCTGAAAAGCACTGATATTCTTCTAATGAGATAAACACTCTGAATCGCATGTCAAAAGCAAATCAAGTGCATTCAAAATCATAAAATGTTCCTTTGGGGCATTTATAAAACTAGATCTAGTTTTATAAATGCCCTAGATACTAGATGTAGTTTTATAAATAGATAAATAGTATCTATTTTTTAGATACTAAAAAATAGATACTATAATACCATCAGTTAAATTGTTTAAACAAGAAAGGTCAATTCTAATAATATGTGCAGCCACAGACTCAATGCTTTGCAGACTTTCTGGAATATCCAGTATGAGGTGTGGCCTTTGAGGTTCAATAATAATCAAGCTAAATGGGTTAATTAGTTTTGTTTTATTTATATTTTCCTTCTAAGATGTGTGTTTATATTAAAGATGCATGTATCTGTATTAAATCTGAGAAACCTGCTCCATTCTTAGTCTATTTTCTCCCAGCACATCAGGACGTCAGTGTCTGTTTTTATGAGAATCAGTATCGGCTCCAGAAAAGCATGACTCAACACAATGCTGTAATCAAACACATGCAGCCTGCCACTCACTTCACTCAGCTGGTTGGGTGGATCAGCTGCTATGAGCTGAGATTATTCATGGTGGTAAAAGCAGATTAGCTTCTATTTTTATAGATAATGTTTTGTGCCACCTTTGCTAGACTGCCAAAAAACTAATATCTTTATAGAACTTTGTTAATATCCGAATAGGATGCTGCTTATTTATGGTTAAGCTTACTCATTCATAATGTTTTTTAAAAAGAATGCAGTAAGGTAAGAATTGATTCAACCTGAAGATGTCTAAAAATGCTAAAAAAAACAAAACAAACACCCATCATAAAGTTCTTGCGTTTTTCAACCAAATCATTATCTAAATGTAATTGTTACCATTGGTAATTGTTTACCATTATCTAAAGGTAAATGCATTAACATCTGAAAAATATGTTAATATATCCCACACACACACATATATTTTTAAGCTTCCTGAAAAAAACCTGTTAGATTTCAAGTGTTAAAACTCGCTACTTCTCCACAAAGAGAAGTCCGTTGTGTAGTTAAAGATTTTTTTTTTTTAAACAAATCTTTAAAAGTTTATCGAAATAAACTAGAAACAAGATCTTAAACATCTTTTTCTCAACTTTGCACATCTATAAACTTAAAAAAAAGGTCAAATCTTAGGTCCTGCTAATGATTTCAGAAGTGTTCTTCTCTTAAAGGTATAGTGGAGGATGCTCTTTTTCCAGGTGGATCATCAAAATAAGTGATCCTCCTAATTGTCAATCATTCTGGTGATATGTTTAGGTAAGGCTGTCCTACGTTCTTGTCCCCATTTTCACTTACCACCATAGTGGAAAAATTGCAAACATTCTTTTGGAAACTAAGCTTGTACGAGCGATGCAAACAGCAACTTTTAAACGAGCGTGCACGAGGAGAAATGGGCTTGTACATGCTCTGACACGCGTTTAATAGGCGTTCCCTCTCGGGAGCGTTTACAGGGTTGTGCATGTGCATTTTTTTTTAATGTGGAAAGGACGGGTCTTTTCAAAAAAAAAATTGTAAATACTCCACTATACCTTTACGACACACCTGAATTAGATAACTAAAGTTCAGAAAAAGCATTGTAATCACCAATGGCAACCAGGTGTGCTTAAGCAGGGAGAAATCTAAAATATACAGACACCAGCCTTTGAGGACTGGAGCTGGGAACTCCTGATCTAAAGCATTCTCTTGTACCTTTGTCAATATCCATAAGGTAATTGGCTGGTTTGAAGTGCACTTTCACCTACATTGTCTTCTATGGTTATTCTGTTTTGATTTCCATCAACTCTAATGGGTTCGACACACAGAAAGCGACGTTGTTCCTTCTCCATTAATTTCCCATGGAACTTGTGCAATGAGGCGACAATTGCTTGCCCTCCTCCAGCAAAGCGTCCGTTGAAATTATGCGTGATATCTTGAGCTCACACATGTAGACGTGCACCTACAGGCTTGCATCGCCATGCAAGAGGGTTGAGAAGTGTTCAACTTTTGTTTCTCAATCTGTTGCTTTTAACCAATCAGTAAAGAGTGTTCAATTACAGGAGAGTTAACTACTCTACCACTTACAACATGGAGGAATATGTTTTTGCCATGTATTGCATGATTTCACAGTAACAAAAAAAGTCTCCTGGGTCTTCAATCTTTGCTGCCTTGTCTGACACGCTCTGCTCTAAAAATATCAAAGTCCCTTTTTTTAATCAATAAAATAAGGATTTTGGCAACAAGAGGCATCTGTCACTGTTTTTTGTCTCTCCCAATGCATTAATACTATTACTATCCTCTTAGTCCCAGGTAAAAAAAAAAAAGTTCCCCTCAGCATGATTCTGCTGCAACCATGTTTTTAATGGTGATGGTGCGTTTAGGATAATATGGAATGCTTCATGACATGCACAGCCTTTTCCTTGTACAGTAGGTCACAATGCTAATTATTAGTATTATCTAACCAGAGCACTTTTTTCAACACCTTTACTGTTTCTTTTTCATGGTTAGTGGCGGAGTGCAAACTGGACCTCACCTTTTTTAATCAAGTCCTTCTTGCCTCTGAGTCATAAAGATTAGATTAGTTCAGGACTAATAGTCGTTTTGTGGACAGAACTTTCCTCCTGAGACGTTGATCTCTCTTTGAATGTCTCATCTCTCAAGGTTTTTCTTTTTGCAGATAATGGGTAGATGGGTCCCAAACTTTGGATATTGCGTCATATCAGTATCTCACTTTAAACTTCTCTACAACTTTATCCCTGACTCTTTACTAATTAGGTGATGTTTAAAGTGAACTGGTTAAACTGGATTTTAATTAAGGGTATTAAAAAAGCTGACTACAAACATGTAAAAAAAAAAAGTGTGAGAATCTTTTACGTTAAACTTTACAATAAGCATGA